GAGACACCAAAGTCCTCTTGGTTCCTAGAGGACTGAGAGACGCCAAAGTCCTGTTGGTTCCTAGAGGACTGAGGAACACTGAAGTCCTGCTGGTTCCTAGAGGACTGAGAGACACCAAAGTCCTGTTGGTTCCTAGAGGACTGAGGAACACTGAAGTCCTGTCGGTTCCTAGAGGACTGAGGAACACTGAAGTCCTGTTGGTTCCTAGAGGACTGAGGAACACTGAAGTCCTGTTGGTTCCTAGAGGACTGAGGAACACTGAAGTCCTGTTGGTTCCTAGAGGACTGAGAGACACCAAAGGCTTGTTGGTTCCTAGAGGACTGAGGAACACTGAAGTCCTGCTGGTTCCTAGAGGACTGAGGAACACTGAAGTCCTGTTGGTTCCTAGAGGACTGAGAGACACCAAAGTCCTGCTGGTTCCTGGAGGACTGAGGAACACTGAAGTCCTGTTGGTTCCTAGAGGACTGAGAACCTGAAAGTCCTGCTGGTTCCTAGAGGACTGAGAGACACCAAAGTCCTCTTGGTTCCTAGAGGACTGAGAGACGCAAAGTCCTGTTCCTAGAGGACTGAGGAACACTGAAGTCCTGCTGGTTCCTAGAGGACTGAGAGACACCAAAGTCCTGTTGGTTCCTAGATGACTGAGGAACACTGAAGTCCTGCTGGTTCCTAGAGGACTGAGAGACGCCAAAGTCCTGTTGGTTCCTAGATGACTGAGGAACACTGAAGTCCTGCTGGTTCCTAGAGGACTGAGAGACGCCAAAGTCCTGTTGGTTCCTAGAGGACTGAGAGACGCCAAAGTCCTGTCGGTTCCTAGAGGACTGAGGAACACTGAAGTCCTGTTGGTTCCTAGAGGACTGAGAGACACCGAAGGCCTTTGTATTACTCCTTGCAGATTGCACATTGTTTAGACCTTGTTTGGTTCTTGAATTTAGAGCAGTATTTAAAGGCTGCGAGGATGACGAGTAATCTACAGCATTGAAGTAATAATTAGACACCTGGCTGCCATCTTCTTCAGTAACTGCAGCGTGGTATCCACCTGCATCATCTATGTGGTACCTTGTTACCCTGTAGAGAAAGATGGCATGTAGATTATATCACATCTGTTGCTATGTCATTTATTTAATGGTTGGCATTTCTCCTTCAGTGTGCTTTGTGCTGCATACTAGCAGCCAGGAGAAGGAATAGATATTACATTTAGGGCAAGATGGACTAACTTCATGATTGAACTTTACATAACAGGAAATTAAAGCTACTGACAATCATGAGCACTGATAAACTTTTGTTATAGTGTACCTATACAATCCATTGGGTTGAAGCACCGATATTCTCCTCCACTTTCCCTGAGGGAGATAAGAACTGTCGATGTTCTTTTGCATCTCCGGTTTCGGGCTGACTCACGCCGTAGCCGAACTCGTATGGGTCCCTGTCAGATAAAGGGTGTCTTAGTGATGATAGTCTGTAATTTTTTTTTTTTTTTTTTTTTTTTATACTTGCCCTGATGTAGTTCTGCAGTTTACTCTCTCTCTCTCTCATTCTCTAGCTCTTCTCTCTTTCTTTTCTCTCTTTCCCTCTGTCTCTCTCTCTCATTCTCTCTCTCTTGTTTTATATATATATATATAATATAGTACTATATATATATATATAATATATATATGTGTGTGGTTGTGGTGTTGTGTTGTGTGTGTGTTGTGTGTGCTGTGTGTTGTGCTGGATATTTATTATATTTTCTATATATATAATTTATATGATTTATATATATATTATATATATATAATATATAATGATATATATATATATATATATAGATATTATATATATATATATATATATATGTTGTGATTTTAAGATGCAACACAGAATTACCTTGTTACTGTCATGGAGCTGAAATTGTGGAGCAGCAGCCACTGCAGTAACGATTACCAGCAGAGTTCCTCGGACCTATTTGAAATTATTTTGATTAGTTCAGAAATGGCTTTTACTAATATATCAAATCAATCTAGACACATATTCCGAGAGCCTTTGGAGAACTCACCTTCATATTGGAAACTGTGCAGCGCAGTGTAGCACCACTAGGAAAATGCGACCAATTTATAGTAATAGAAACTTTCTCTCTCTCTCTCTCTCTCTCTCTCTCTCTTCTCTCTCTCTCTCTCTCTCCCCTACGTAGGAAAGTGGAAGGTGGGGTTAGCAGTTCTGTGTCGTTACCCAAGACGCCTCTTGGCAACAGTCACTTCTGCCATAGTTTCTGAAATCGATACAACCTTTCCCTTCCCTGTGGTGGCAGATTTTGGGTTATGCCTTCCTTCTGATGGCAATCTGTCAGAACTGGAGTCTTGGGGCATATCTGGTGATGAAGATAATGATGTATTTGCGATGACTGAAACTCGTGGACCGGGTATGTCTAAGGGTGGACATAGGGGACACATGATATTAGGATATGTCAGTATATCTAGCTATATTTTCATATCTTTATGTCCAGTCTATACATCATCTACCTCTG